AGCCTGACTGGATTGGTGACGGAGATTGGAAGTTGTTGCAAGAGTATTGGGCCTCTGATGCTTTTAAGAAGAAGAGCCAAGTTGGGAAGAAGAACCGAAACTCTAAAGCGGGAAAAGAATCACAGTATCGCGGTGGCAGGATACCAGTGACGAAGCATGTTGAAAGGCTGGTAAGTTTCTGTTATTATTTTGAATTATAATTCAATGATCATTGTTTTTACTTTTAATCATTTTTTTTACTTATAAATCTGTAGACTAAGCAGTTGAATAGGGCTCCGTTGAAGATCGAAGTGTTCGATAAGGTGTATGTCCCGAAGTCGGGTGACCCCCCACCACGTGTTGTTGAAACAAAGGTAAAGAAACATATACTTTTGTTATATGTTTTAATTATAATGTTATTATAGAAGAAATATATTTTAACAATAATTTTCTGTTTGTGCAGCAAAAGTATAGTGAAATGAAGGCGCTGGCTGAATCACAAGGGAAGTCTTATGATGAGGATGACTCCGAGCTGTTCTGTAAGGTGGTCCCGCTGTACAAAGGCAGGCGGTTTGGGACGGGATCTGAAGCCGAGTCGATGGAAGACGTTGAATGCTCCAGCAGAATATCGGGGCCGACTCAGCAGGAAATAGATTCCCGCATCAAGGACCAGCTGGAGGCCCGATTTGTGCAGCAGGAGAAGCAGTGGCAAAGCCAGATGGAGAAGATGACTTCCGTGTTTACGACGTACATGGAACAAGTCCGTAGCTTGAACCCTAATGTCCCGATGCCAGATTTCTCGCCTTTTCGTACCCCGACCTCTACCCAAATGAATCTCAATGATACTCTTGAAGTGCGGCTGGAAGACATCTTTGTGTAATGAACAAACACTTTTAATTTTATTGCATGTTCTGGACATCTTCTGGCAATTTGTTTGCCATTTTGACATCTTATTCGGCAGTGGTTTATCTGCCTGTACTGCTGTAATAATTTTACATTTTCTTGTTATATATGCCTTTTAATTTGCTCTATATTGCTTGTGATGTTCGTATGTCTATGCTTCTGTTTTAATGTTATGCTGCTTATAACAATTTTATTTTTAAAAAAATGTACACCGTACATATGTACGGTATCCCGTACATATGTACGGTGTACATTTTTTTTATAAATTAAAATTTGGCACGGAGTTAGCCGTATCAAGAATCCTCTCAAAATATCTAAATTGCAGTGTCATAATTTGGCTCGAGAGTTTCCGTGCCAAAATACCCGGGTAAAAATTCGGGTGACCCGGTAGATGACGAGCCAATATCCGTGCCTATTGAAATCCGAGCCAAAATGGTTGTGAATTATCAGGTAGGTTAGCCCGGATTATTCCGTGTCTAAATCCGCGACAAGCCTTGGCTCGGATGCAATTAGCCGCGCCAAACCATTTGGCACGAGCCAGGTGGGACGGATTTCGTTTCTGTGCCAAATCCGAGCCAACAGCGCTAGTCTGGGATTTCAATGAAGCTCTCCGTGCCAAAATCCGACCCTCTGGCGATTTTTTTTTGGTAGTGTTTATACGATGACTACTTCTCAACAAAACCCATATATGGACCAAAAGTATTCCGCAGAAGGTTTAGTATGAGGCAGCAATTGTTCTTGCGCATAGTCAGGGGCGTAGCCAGGACACTGGGCTAGACTGGGCCGGTACAAAGAATATTATTGGAAAAAAATTTACACGAAATTTTTTACACTAAAAATATTGACATTTTTCAAATTTGGGGTGGGCCAGGGCCTAGCCTGGGCACCCCCTAGCTCCGCCCCTGCGCATAGTTGAAGCCTTAGGAAGCCATTGTGACTATTTCCAACAAAAGTTTGATGCTGCAAAAAAAAAGGTTTGAGTCCACTTCAAAAATGCACTGCCGCTATTCGCATATTAGCATATGGAGCACCTGCTGATGCCGTTGATGAATACATCAAAATTGGTGAGAGCACAACGGTAGAATGCTTATTCAAATTTTGTCGTTCTATTATTGAGGTATTTGGAGAGGTGTACATGAGAAGACCTACAACTCATGATGTTCAATGATTGCTTCAAATGCACGAGGAGTATCATGAGTTTCCAAGCATACTTGGCAGTCTAGATTGCATGCATTGGGCATGGAAGAACTATCCCTCAGCATGGAAAGGACAATATACACGAGGTGATTATGGGTATCCAACAATAATGCTTGAAGCGGTTGCCTCAGTGGATCTTTGGATTTGGCATGTGTTGGTCCAAAATAGGACGCTCGTAGGCTTTTAGGAAAGCTACGATAAACACTCAAGCAGGAAAATAGAAAGTACTACGAAAATGGAAAGTAGCTAGGGGGTTTCAGAGCCAGAAATAGCATATGAAATTGGTTCCCTCTAATCTGAATTACAACGTGCCTTTTATAGGCGTATACAAATCGTAACTGCTATCGATAATAATGACTAATTAATTACAACATTAATACGGAATTAAATACATAATTAAATAACGCATTAATTGCTTGACCGTTACTTTTCCTAGCTGGAAGGTCGGTCGGACTGGCAGGCTCCCTGCGGGGCTGGTAGGCAGGCTCCAGGTTGTGGACTTGGATCCACGGGTCCAAGTTCGGGGCTTGGGCCGATTAGGCTCTGGGCCTAGTCCCATTACTCCATCACGAGTCCCCCACTCCCTTAGTCGAGTAGTAGACTCGGCTAAGAGGGAGTAGTCCAAGTCAGCTTCTCTTCCCCGAGACTGGAAGATCTCTGCCCTTGTCCATGTTAGGGAGATACCTCATTAAAAACCTTCATTAGGAAAAACCCGATGGGAAAAAATCCTAATGAAGGGAAAAAGAGTACACCTGATGCCCCCAATATGAAGCAAAGGGTGAAATCTTCAGCCTTTATTGCAATGGTCACCATCAGCAAAGAGGATGGCTAGAACCGTTTTCTCGTCGGACTTGAACTCATCAGGCTACTCCTCGTTTAGTCGTACCTACACATAAAAGCAACAGGTGTATAATAGAGCATTTGGTCTGGTGTTGAACCACGACTCAGTGAGTGAGTGAGTGAGTCGGACTCACTACTTGAAAAGAGTGACATCAATTTTCCAAGTTAGGCCTCAACCCAGTCTCCGAAAGGAAGGTTGAATCCGCGAGTAAGTGACTCGGAGTCACCATTCGAACGGATAATCCAACCCCACGGAACTTAAGTATATCGATCTTTTCGGGAAATGTGAATGTCAATTAAGTGTGTGAGTGAGTCGGACTCAATAATTGAAAAGAGTGACATCAATTTCCCAAGTTAGGCCTCAACCCAGTCTCCGAAAGGAAGATTGAATCCATGAGTAAGTGACTCGGAGTCACCATTCGAACGGATAATCCAACCCCACAGAACTAAAGTATATCGACCTTTTCGGTTAATGTGAATGTCAATTAAGTGAAAAAATTGCTCGGAAGAGCGTGGCTCTAAGCCCCTAACAAGAGTTTAACTCGTCGCCCGAGGTTAGTAGTTTGAACCCGCAAGTAAGAACTTTTGAACGGGTGACTCGTCCCCCGAGGTCGGAGTGTGATGCACTAGGTAGAGGTAAGAGCACACAAGAACTCATATGAAGTCAAGAGTGTGTGGTATTAACATATATATTGGAGCTTATTAATCGTTACACCCATATGACGTGACCCGGTGGCGCGAGTGTGTGCTCGACCAGTGTACGAGTGTGTGTGCTCGTCCGGCGTACTTGAGTGATTAGATCTCATAAGTCCGTTGTTCAATGTTAAAATTACACACACTTAACAAGAGTAAAAGCAACCAAATCACTTAAAATTCTTTTCAGATATTTTTAATCTATGATTTTTTTTAATCAAATATCCTGACATTAATTGTAGGGAAATTGTTTTGGAGTACTTAGCTTTCAATTAAGCTGAGACGTGAATGATGTGTTGTTGAAACAATTCTGGGCCAACTAAACAATTGTGAAGGAGGCGCCCTCCGTTGCCACTGCCAGCGAGCAAATTGTGAAGCCCTTGGCTATGGCCGCCGTTGGTGGACTTCGGCCGGTGTTGCTAGAGGAGAGGTGAAGCTCTGACCTCCAACAGAGATCAGCGGCCTTAACCACGTCAAACGGTAGATCTCATCAGCGGCCGTCACGATGGCGGAGCGACCAGAAGCGACGCGGGCATCGCTGTGACGGGGTACATGTCTAGCTTCGAATCATGCCTTTCGCGGACTCCAATTCTCCATTAATGGCGGAAATCAAGGAAATTTCAGGTCGCGTCGGCGGTGAGGCGAGGGCCGAGCGGCTACTGCCCACGAGGTGAGCACTGGTCGGAGAGGGAGAAGAGTGGGCGGCTAAGTGGACTGTGACCGCCGATCGAGGGAAACTCGCTATTCCAGCTGCCCCATCGGACCACCGGTCCAACTTGAGAGAGGAATGCCAGCTTGTTTGTTCCGCAGTTTCGTGAGCAGGGGTCCACCGATTCTCCATGTCGTAGAACTGTAGGCTGAGGAGACTGCCGTGTGAGGGAGCAGCACAGCCTCCTCGCGACTGCCCGGAGAGTTCTCCACGTCGGCAAATTGCGGTGGGGCAAGGCGCCTGCTGCAGTGTAGATCTCAACCTCAAAGCTGGCCGGTGGAACCTGAAAAATTGCTATAAGCCTTCCATCTCCGCCCATTTTTTCTGACGTTTCTTCTTTGATTCCTACCAAAGTGATGAGAGACAATTATCAGCTCTCAATGAAAGCACCAATGTTGGTCCAAAATAGGACGCTCGTAGGCTTTTAGGAAAGCTACGATAAACACTCAAGCAGGAAAATAGAAAGTACTACGAAAATGGAAAGTAGCTAGGGGGTTTCAGAGCCAGAAATAGCATATGAAATTGGTTCCCTCTAATCTGAATTACAACGTGCCTTTTATAGGCGTATACAAATCGTAACTGCTATCGATAATAATGACTAATTAATTACAACATTAATACGGAATTAAATACATAATTAAATAACGCATTAATTGCTTGACCGTTACTTTTCCTAGCTGGAAGGTCGGTCGGACTGGCAGGCTCCCTGCGGGGCTGGTAGGCAGGCTCCAGGTTGTGGACTTGGATCCACGGGTCCAAGTTCGGGGCTTGGGCCGATTAGGCTCTGGGCCTAGTCCCATTACTCCATCAGCATGCATACTTTGGTGTTGCTGGTTCAAATAATGACCTAAATGTATTGAGCAGATCAAATTTATTTCAAGAGAAATTACAAGGAAAAGCTCCTGAGGTTAATTTCAATGTTAATGGGACCGAATATAACATGGGATATTACCTTACAGATGTTATATATCCAGAGTGGGCAGCATTTGTCAAAAGCATTGCACTTCCTAAAGATCCTAAGAGGGTTTTATTCAAACAACGCCAAGAGAGTGCACGGAAAGATGTTGAGAGAGCATTTGGTGGGCTTCAAGCTCGTTTTGCAATAGTTCGCGGTCCAGTACGATGTTGGCATCAGTGCAAACTCCATGATATTATGGAAGGGTGTGTTATATTGCATAACATGATTGTTGAAGATGAGCGACACAAATACTCGAGAAACTTTCATGACCCAGATTTCACTCCAACAAATGTTTCTGATGTTCATCAAGGATATGATCCCGATTTTCAATTGTTTATGTCTAGGGATGCAGGCATTCGAAACAGACAGGTGCATCATAATCTGAGAGCGGATCTGGTCAAGCATATTTTGCAACGTTTTGGAGAGCAAAATTTGAATTGATATTGTTTAATGTAGTATATTTATTTTATTTAATGCGTTTGCTTTGTTAGTTTTAAGAAATGTTTATTTTTTCATGAAATACTTAAGTTAAAGTTGATATTTTTCATATAGAATATTTTCGAGCAAATTTTGTATTCCTTATTTTGTTACTTAACAAAATACATATTTTTGTACTAATTTTAATAATATGCATTTTCACCCTCGTCTGCTTAATGTTGGACGTTGGATTAAAAATGTATGTTTCAATATTGATTTTTGTAGCTAAATATTATTTTTATTATATCAACAATAAAATTCATTCAAAATGTATATTTCAATATTGATTGATTTGTGGGGCCTATTCAAGAGGCAAGGGTTGTAGCTAACCATTGGACCATCACATTGCTGGAAAATGGATTAGCTAGAAAAACTGAGGTGGCAAGCAAAGCTACAAGGTGTCTAGCTGACTGCTGGAGATGCTCTTACCCGGCCCGACCCGCGGTTCCAGTACACGTTTGCCCACCCCTAATTCGCAGCATACAACCAAGCAGCAGCCGCAGCAGAGAGGGATCATCTACTCTTTCTGTTCCTTTTCAATTAGCCGCAGCAGCAGATTCCATTCTTTCTATTCTTTCTGCGCTTTGTCACTTAGTCGCACCAGGGATTAGCCGCAGCAGCTATTCCACCCTTTGTCAATTAGCTGGCCCAAGGATTTTTCATTCCTTTCTTTGACAATCAGCCGCAGCAGAACAAGAGACAAGGGAATGCCTAAACTTCATTTTTCTTCAATTCTTTCAATTCAATTTACATTCTAAGTATTGATTGTAAGTTTCAGCCTATTTTACGTTAGTAGTTCTTGATTTTAGATTGAATTTCGAATTTATTAATTTTTAGTTCCTTTATCATGTTTATCAATAATACTGTGATATTATTAGTATCATATTAAAGATAAAAAAACTAAAAATACTGATATTTTTTTGGAAAAAATTAAACCAATAATACAAAAGTTATAACAATTGCAAAATTGAAATGCATCATCATGCCATGTTGCAGCATTGGAGGGTGGAGATGATACATGTTCACCCTCTTTTGAGTTTGAGGGGTGAACAAAATTGTTCTCGCCTTCACGCTTAGAAGCTGTTCTCTTCGTCTTATTCTTATTACTTATTGCTTATTCTTATTTTATTCAGATCAGATCAGATCAGAAAAATTCAAATCAGATCAGATCAGAACGATTCAGATTAGATCAGACTAGATCAAAAACATTCAGATCAGAAAAGTTCAAACATGATTTATGACTTTTATTATTATATTAATAATAATTATTATTATAATTATTTTATTATAATTAATAATAATAATAATATAATAATAATATGTTTATGTAATTATAATATAATAATATAATAATACTAATATAATAATAATATTATAAAAATAATATAATAAAAATATAATAATAATAATAGTATAATATTTATATATTATTATTATATTATTATAATTATAATTATAATTGTAATTATTAATATTACTATTATTATTGTTGTTGTAATTATTATTATCATGCGGAGTAATTATAATTATAATTATAATTATAATTATAATTATAGAAATAAATATAATAATTATACTTACAATTATAATTATATAAGTAATTATGATTATATAATTCAAAATATAATTACAATTATAATTATATCTATAGTTATAATTAGTGTAATAGGTATAATTATTATAATTTTGAATTTAAGTTTAATTATTATTATATTTTTTATATTTATGATTATGATTATAATTTTATTTAAATTATATTTGTAATTAAAATTATATTTATAATAAGGTTAATTATAATTATAGAAATATTCAAATCAAATCAGATCAGATCAGAAATATTCAAATCATATCAGAAGGATTCAGATCAGATTAGAAACATTCAGATCAGATCAGACCAGATCAGAAAGATTCAGATCAGATCAGAAAGATTCAGATCAGATCATATCACAAAGATTTAGATCTGATCAGATCAGATCATAAAAATTAGAACATAAAAATTTCAAATCAGAAATATTCCATTGCAAAGCCACCCGGTCCCTCATTCTCAAGGACTTCCCCAACAATTACAGTTGGCAGCGACACACGACTTTTAATTGATACGGACAATGGATCCAACCACAATTCAGGCTATGCACATTAACAAATGCAAATTTTTCAGTGACAAGGACCCCACACATGAAATTTGTGAGGCGGCCAATTATTTCAGATCTTTCAATCGAGAAGTCTCTCCCCACTCCGTAACACCAATTGTTACCGCTCCAAAAGGTGCTAGGCGTGAGTGGCATGACAGTCCAGTGCCTAAGAGTTCTATTTTGTTCACTCCTTCCCAAGTTTTGAAAATATTTCTCATTTGAATTTTTTATGTTATGATGATCTGAATTTTTCTGATATGATCTGATCAGATCTGGACCTTTCTGATCTAATCTGATCTGAATTTTTCTGATCAGATCAGATCTGAATCTTTCTGATCTGATCTGATCTGAATCTTTCTGATCTGATCTGAATCTTTCTGATCTGGTCTGGTCTGATCTGAATGTTTCTGATCTGATCTGAATCCTTCGGATCTGATTTGAATCTTTCTGATCTGATCTGAATCTTTCTGATTTGATTTGATTTTAATATTTCTATAATTATAATCAACCTTATTATAAATATAATTTTAATTACAAATATAATTTAAATAAAAAAAATTTTTAACATCACCCCCTCCCTCCAATACGGTAAATTATATTATACAACCGGCTGTATCTAGGGCATGGTACAGCCGGGTTTTTTTTAAATTAGTTTCAACTTTGAGGGCAATAGATATGTTAGTTGTTGTTTTTTTACTTCTTTTGTCCGCTGCAGTACGTATCAACCTGGGCACCGATTTCCGCCGCATGCAGTACTCCGCCGGGTTTTTTTGATCGTTTCTAACTCCACCTGGGCCGCATGCACTACTCCACCTGATTTCTGCCGCATGCTGATTTCCTTTTTTACTCCTTTTCGTTTATTGCTTTTTAATTGTTTGTTCTCTTTCTGTTTTTTTTCTTAGCAACATCAACTTTAATTTTATTTTCAATTATTATGAAGTGTCTCAATCTTTTTCTTTTTCCAATCAAACTTTTATTTTTTTATTTCTGTATTGTAACATATTTTAGGTATTAATGTTTTATTTTTCTATTTTTAATTTACAATTAATATTTATTAGTTTATTAAATATTATGTGTTAGTTACTAACATGAGTTATGTGTTATATTAAAATGAGTATAGTGAAAAATAAACATGCTTGGGTAAACATTATAAAAACAACCCAATCCCAATTATATTTGTATTTCGAGAACGAAAGACTATATTATTTTGGGAAAATGGAAATTAATAATCCAACCTTTTAGTGGTCTTCTTACAATAGTCCCACCTTTTGATTATTCATGAATAATCCAACCTTTGCACCTCATCTTTATTCACTGGTCCCTGACCGGTTGATGACCTGTTATTCCAAGTTATTTTCTTATCTTTGCAAAATATTATCTTTGTGAAAGGTGAGATTTATGGTATAATGGTTTACAAAGATAAGAAAATAACTTGGAATAACAGGTCATCAACCGGTCAGGGACCAGTGAATGAAGATGAGGTGCACAGGTTGGATTATTCATGAATAATCAAAAGGTGGGACTATTATAAGAAGACCACTAAAAGGTTGGATTATTAGTTTCCATTTTCCCTATTATTTTAACATAAAATTACTATATTTGTGATTATATGTGCATAAATGAATATTTGAACACATTAGAGAATTCAAATGAGATTTGAATTTTTTATGCTCATTTTGTAAACCATATATGTTCATTTGACATTGGTTTTATGCTCATTTTAAAATGTCATATTAATGCATATTTTAAAAGTATCATATTTATATACATGGGAGCAGAGATCGTGATACTCAATTGCATGCTTCTGATACTCAATAGAGAATGTTTGATGTTCAATAAGATGTTTTGATATTCAACTAACAAAGCTTATTTGGTAAGTAATGTATGCTCATTGTGTATTAATATTATGCTCACTTAAAAGTACTTAATTCTCAAAACTTGGTGGAGGACCCTAGGACTTAAAAGTCCTTAACACTCAAACTTGGTGGAGGACCCTAGTACTTAAAAGTACTTAACACTCAAAACTTGGTGGAGGACCCTAGGACTTATGAGTCCTTAACACTCACAAACCGGTGGAGTACCCAAGGATTATGATCCTCAAAACTCATAGATTAAGATATTGAAATAGGGGCAAGGAGGAGTCCTATACACTCATAGGTATATGGGTGGGTTGGGGTTTTTAGTCAAGAATATTGACTATTACTATTTTTCCCAAATAAAACGGTGATCTACGGATCGGATATTTTCCAAGTATATATATACTAATAAGTATTTCATAACTTGAGGGAAAGACTATCTATTTAAGTATCACCCTATGTTTGGGTCTTATACTTGAAACACTAGTTATTCTATATTTAACCTGCTACTCGCTCGGTACTTGTACTGACCCCTTCGGGGGGGCCCACCATTTTCAGGTTGAAGCTAGGGCTTGCTACTTGCACCTTCTCACGGGTGATATCATATCAGGAAGACGTGGTTCGTGCTTCCTTATTTTCTTTCAAACTACTGAACACTTGCTCATGGATATTTGTTTTACTATAAACTATTTTTGGGGCTTGCATGCCCATGTTGTTGGCCGGTTGTGGGCCATGACTTACCGTTGAATATTTCCGCTATTCATTGGTTTAAATGTGATGTTGTTATGTATGTTGACTACTGAGTATGGATGGATTGTTTTTCTCGAACGCCTTGTGTAATTAAGTGAGGTTGACTCGTGGGTGACGTCACTTAGTTATACGGCGGTTGTACACGCGCTTGGATTGCGGTCTGGGGCGTGACAATTAAGTGGTATCAGAGCCATCTCAGTTCTAAACTATATAATCAACCTCTCACAAAAGATTTTACAAAAGAGTTTTACCGAAAATCATGAGCATTGTATTTTGACGTTTATAGGACTATTAGTGTTTAAGTTGCAAGGCCTCTAATTGTTAAGACGGTACCCTTAACAATTGGTATGGTGGTGACTTGGGCCAATACGTGCCTGTAACGTTCTTTCGTCAATTGACATTTATAGGAGTCCAATGACTCATCCATATTTCTTTCAGAAATGGAGGGCAGGCGAATGGCAACCAGGAACAATCCGAGGGGGCGGGCACCGGTAGCATCCCAGAGGGGAAGCCGGGCTGCATCTCGGGGCTCACGAGGAGGCCGTGGAGGCGGAGGAGGTCGTGGAGGGCATCAAACTCAAACTGTGAGCGACGGCCACGTTAGTTCGGTGTATGAAACCAACACCGAAGACTATGACTTCGCATATGTTCCTGAGACGGGGCATGAGGAGACCCCATATGATGGGGGTGACACATACACCGATGATGATGATGATGAAGAGAGTGATGCCAAGTTCGCCCAAATGGGCGAATTGCTTGAGTGGTATCAAAAAGAAAAACTGAGGAGAGACCTTAGGCGCCAAGCAAGGCGTGGCTCTCGCGGTGGTTCGGGTCAAGGAAGCCGGGGAGCTTCAAGGGCCACTCCTGCGGCGTCACAAGACGGGCGTGAAGGAGGTTTTTGTGTGAGAATCTCCAAGTACCTCAAGGAGGCTAGGGCCTCGGGGTGTAAGTCCTTTGACGGCACCAGTGACATTACCGTTGCCGCCGATTAGATAAAGAAGGTGAAGGTTGCGGCAAAGGACATGCAAATTTCACCGGAC